TGTTAAAAAATAGATTTTTTAGATTACCCCCAAGACCAACTTCAGTAAAACAGCTTCCAACCTAAAGAATGGAAGTCCAGGGGCTGGGGTGGTGGTTCAATGGTAGTGCGCTTGCCTGGCATGTGTGAGGCACTGGGTTTGATTCTCGGCACTGCATGTAAACAAATAAATGAATAAAGATCCACCAATAACTAATAAAAAAAAAGAATGGAAGTAGGGCTGGGGTTATGACTCAGTGGTAGAGCACTCGCCTAGCATGTACGACGAGGCCCTGGGTCTGATCCTCAGTACCACATAAAAATAAATAAAGGTATTGTGCCCAACTACAAAAAAAAATGGAAGTCTAATACATGCCTTAGGCATAATCAATTTTGTGTTTTCTTTTTTCATGTAAAAATTAATTAATTGTAATGCCTTGATTCTCAGATCAGCAATCTTACATCAATAAAAATGTTATGGTCACTTCATTTTACCAAGTCATAAACAGAGGGGAAATAAGAAAATATCACCCAAATAGTTCATCTGAACTAAGATCATAAGAAATTAATGAAGCAGTTATAAGCATTATGGCAATGCCCATACCCTGATAGCCGAGTGACAACAGAGTTTGAAAAAAGGTCAAAGTATGCAAAAAATAAAAAATTTCCCCTCCTCCAAGATGAAAGACCTTTAAAATATACACAAGAGGGAAACAAAACTCCAAGAAAAAAAAAAAAAAAAAAACAGGCTGTAATCTAAAACTTCTAAGACAGATAAAGAATAAATATTCCCTTTAGTGAAATGATGAGTTTCCTTTATTTGTGGTAAATACACATCACCCTCCCTTCACTATGTCTGTTATCCTTAAATAGACAGCAGAACTTCAATTCTCCTTACCCAAGGCCTGGTAGTGTTATTTCTCCTTTGTGAGCTGTTGGTTTGCTGACTGTAGCAACTGCTGTAACTGTGTGAGAGTCTGATTTAGACTTATAAACATTTTCTCCTTTTCAGAAGATTCCTGAAAAGAAGATATAAGTGATGAACTCCAACACAAGGAAAAGGAATGTACAACCAAAATCAGAAAACATTTTATTGTTGTTTCAAATACAAACATGAAAATCC